ACTGAATTTTTAAGTATACTGTTCTTTTGCTCTCATGTATGCATTGCATACATTCTTCTTTGGTATGTTTTTTATTGCAAGAATTTTAGTTTATATCTTTTTCATAGTTTCCGTCTGTCTTCTGATCTTTCATAGTTTTATAGTTTTCTATCTTACTCATTAGATCCTTTAACATATTTATCATGGCCTTTTTACAAACCCCATTAGATATTTGTGATATTTAGATCATCCCTGAGTCTGCTTAAGCTGGATGCTTTTTCCCCTGGCCAGAAATTAAATTTACTTACTTCTCCCATCTCGGGAAACCCATGGGATATTCCTTTCAGCTTGTCAGTATGAACCAGCCTTTTACATTTCTGACTTCTATTTTTTCTCTTGTTCTTCCTTTGGTTTTCTACTTTTTGAGATCTCTCTCTCCGTTATAGTGAAGGACTGGAGTGCCTTGGAGAGGGACATCTTGCAGTTCTCTGGCTTCTTCCTCAGACTTTAGCAAGCCAGGGATTTGTATTCGAAGAGTTCCTAAGTACCTGAACAGCGGGAGAAGTATCTCTCTAGGCAGTTTTGTACTGCTCTCAACTTCCTCTGTATTTCATATCTCCTCCGTGCATTCAGTGAAGGCTCATGGGAAAGAACTGCTGGTTGGGGGTATACTTGCTCTGTGGCTAGGGGCCCTCAGGATTCTAATTTGTCACACTAGCTTTGACTGGTTTCTCCCATGCCTTGGCAAATTCCTCCTCCTGAGGAGGAGTCCCCTTCTGCTATGGACAAAAGCAGCCCTAAATCTTCTCTATCTTATAAAGCATTAATAACTTCTGGAATGTGTTCCGTTTAAGTTTCTTTAAATTCTGTCTTTTCCACTAGGCTTAAAAAGACTATAGTTTTATAATTTATCTGGCATGTTCTCATTGTTGGGAGTGGAAAGTCTCTTGCAACTTTCCACATTCTACCTAGAAGTGGAATCCTTGGACTAACTTAGAAGACATATAACTGAATGTTTATGAATCAAATAAGATGGATCTTAATGTTTATAATTACATGCCAATAAAATAATTAAATCCTATCACTCAGCTTAATTATATAAATATTTTTACTAGATACCCTTTGTGTGTTATGTCATGGATTAATTGACAAAATAAGCTTGGATTTGTTTTTAGGCTTTCTATTGTTTCATTGATCTGTGTATCTGTTCTTGCTAGTACCATACTGTTTTGATTACTATAGCTTTGTGGTATAGTTCAAAATCCGGGATTGTGATACTTCCACATTTGTTCGTCTTTCTAAAGATTGCTTTGGCTATTTGGGGTCTTTTGTGGTTCCATACAAATTGTAGGATTATTTGTTCTAGTTCTGTCAAAAGTGTTATTGGTAGTTTGATATGGATTGCACTGAATTTGTAGATTGCTTTGGGTAGTATGGCCATTCTAAGAATATTAATTCTTCCAATCCACAATTGTGGTATATCTTTCCATTTGTTTGTGTCTTGGTTTCTTTCATGAATATCTTATAGTTTTCAAAGTACAGGTATATCTTTTATTTTTCATTTTGAATATGGCATTGGCTAGGACTCCCTGTATATTTTTGAATAGATGTGATATGAGTATATCCTCAACTTCTTACTGATTTTGGGGAGTAAGTGTTCAGTCTTTCACCATTCATTGGATGTTAGCTGTAGATTTTTCATAGATGGCATTCATCACATTGAAGTTCCCTTTAATTCTTTAAAAAATTTTGTTAAATACATTGCTACATAAAATGAGATGTTCTTCTGACTTATCTTTTTTAGTCTGTTAGTATGGTAAATTATATTGGTTGAGTTTTGAATGTTAAATCAGCCTTGCATCTCTGAGATAAATGTCACTTGGTCATGATCTTTTTTTCTATATTGCTACATTTGATTTGTTAATATTTCATTGTGGATTTTACATCCTTGTTCATGAAGAGGGGTAGACTGGCTAGTTCATGAAGAATAAATTATAGTTTTCTTATAATATCTTTGGTTTTCTATTATGGTTATATTGGTGTCACACTAAAGGTTGGGGAGATCTCACTCTTCCATTTTCATTTAATTTCACTTATTAAAGACTTTGATTACTATCATTTTCTTCCCCTTACATTTTTGGTAAAAATTAGTGATGAAAGGATCTGGACCTGGAATTTTCTTTGTGAGAAATTTTTTGGTTAAAAATTCAATTACCTTAATTTCAATTTAGACTAGTTTCAGTAAGTAGTGTGTGTATTCTAGGACTTTGTCCATTTCATCTGTCTTCTTGTTATATTTTTAACGTTTGTAGGATCTTAATGGCATTCTCTATTTCAGTATTGACAGGTAGTTTATGTTTTCTGTCTTATATCTTGATTATTATTGCTAGGATTTGTAAGTACATTCATTTGTTCAAATAATTATTGTTTTAGTTTTTAATTTTGTATTTCATTGATTATTTTGTTTTTACTTAATGGATTTAGTTTGCTGTACTTTCTCCAGCTTTTTAACGTGGAAGCTTAGGCATTATTTTTCATTGTTCCTCTTTTCTAATGTGATTTTTAAGCTAAGCTTTTTAAGGAGTACTTTAGTTGACTCAAAATTTTGACTTTTTAAAAAAATTATTGAGCTGTTTTAAATATTTTTTAATTTTGCCTCTGATTTCTTTTTTTTAAACCCATAGATTATTTAAAATTATGTTACTTAACTTACAAGTATTTTGGGATTTTCTTTCTATTTGAATTTAACACAATTTAGGTCAAAGAACAGAAACTAATCTGTGTAATTACATTTCTTTGGATTTGGGGCTTGGATTTTTCTCCAGCATGTGGTCTATTTTTGTGAGTATTCATATGCATTACAAAAGAATGTTTATTTTTAGGTTGAGTCTTGTACAAATATCAACTAGGTAAAGCTGGTTGGTAGTGATTTTAAAACCTCTGTACTATTACTAATTTTTGTCTAATTCAGTAACTACTGAAAACCAGATGTTAAAATCTCACTTTATGACTTGAATTTGTCTGTTTCTTTGTTTAGTTTTTTTTTTTTTGATTTTTTGTTTCATGTATTCTGAAAAGCTTTATTATTAGATATCTACACATTTGGGATTTTTATATCTTTCTGATCTGTTAATCTTTTCATTACTATGAAATTTACATCTGAAGTTCTTATTCTTGTCCCTCTGTATGTAATATTTTTCTTTTCTGTGGCTAGTTTTAAGTATTTTCTCTTTTATTTGATTTTCAACTGATTGAGTATGATATACTTAGTGTGACTTACTTTGTGTCTTACTTGGGGTTTGTTCAACTTCTTTGATCTAATTGTTGGTAGCTTTTGTCAATTTAGAAGATTCTTGGCTATTGTATTTTCAAATATTTCTTAATTCACCTTCTTGATTCCATCTGAAAGCCAGTTACTTGTTTGCTAAATCACTTGGTACTGCTCTGTAGATTTTAGATGCTCTGCTCCTTTTGTCATGCCGTCCTTCTCACTTTGGGTTTCATTTTGGATAATTTCTACTGACTAATCTTTAAGTATACTGTTCTTTTGCTCTCATGTATGCATTGCATACATTCTTCTTTGGTATGTTTTTTATTGCAAGAATTTTAGTTTATATCTTTTTCATAGTTTCCGTCTGTCTTCTGATCTTTCATAGTTTTATAGTTTTCTATCTTACTCATTAGATCCTTTAACATATTTATCATGGCCTTTTTACAAACCCCATTAGATATTTGTGATATTTAGATCATCCCTGAGTCTGCTTAAGCTGGATGCCTTTTCCCCTGGCCAGAAATTAAATTCACTTACTTCTCCCATCTTGGGAAACCCATGGGATATTCCTTTCAGCTTGTCAGTATGAACCAGCCTTTTACATTTCTGACTTCTGTTTTTTCTCTTGTTCTTCCTTTGGTTTTCTACTTTTTGAGATCTCTCTCTCCGTTATAGTGAAGGACTGGAGTGCCTTGGAGAGGGACATCTTGCAGTTCTCTGGCTTCTTCCTCAGACTTTAGCAAGCCAGGGATTTGTATTTGAAGAGTTCCTAAGTACCTGAATAGCGGGAGAAGTATCTCTCTAGGCAGTTTTGTACTGCTCTCAACTTCCTCTGTATTTCATATCTCCTCCGTGCATTCAGTTAAGGCTCATGGGAAAGAACTGCTGGTTGGGGGTATACTTGCTCTGTGGCTAGGGGCCCTCAGGATTCTAATTTGTCACACTAGCTTTGACTGGTTTCTCCCATGCCTTGGCAAATTCCTCCTCCTGAGGAGGAGTCCCCTTCTGCTATGGACAAAAGCAGCCCTAAATCTTCTCTATCTTATAAAGCATTAATAACTTCTGGAATGTGTTCCGTTTAAGTTTCTTTAAATTCTGTCTTTTCCACTAGGCTTAAAAAGACTATAGTTTTATAATTTATCTGGCATGTTCTCATTGTTGGGAGTGGAAAGTCTCTTGCAACTTTCCACATTCTACCTAGAAGTGGAATCCTTGGACTAACTTAGAAGACATATAACTGAATGTTTATGAATCAAATAAGATGGATCTTAATGTTTATAATTACATGCCAATAAAATAATTAAATCCTATCACTCAGCTTAATTATATAAATATTTTTACTAGATACCCTTTGTGTGTTTCTTAAATGCTAATCTGTATTTAAAAGAAGAATGTTTGCTACCACTGAGATAATGAAAAGAATATGATAAGGCTCTACATCTATGCTAAAAGGAGGAATCCTAGTAAATATTTTGAGCAAAGTCCAATGTGTTGGAAAAGTTAATGCTTTTCCAAGATAATTATGAATTAAAAGACTTAATAGTTTTCCTTAGTTCCTGTTCATTGTCCTCTTGCATTAATATGTTAAAATGTGGTTATTTTGGACATATAAATTAATTCAAAGGATAGTAAAAATTAACTGTATTCCAGCTAGGTATCGTAATTAAAAACTTCAAACTTCTAATGACTAGGTGTTTGTCTTTATCCTTCTAATATATTTAACTTTCCTGTTTTTCTTTTTCCTATTTAGGAATCCTAAACCCAAAATACTATAAAGAAACAGGAACATGGCTCACCGTATTCCATTTCTTTGGATAGTTTTGGTTCTGCTTCTTCAGAATTCCGTACTAGCTGAAGATGGGGAAATAAGATCAAGTAAGAACTGTTATCATTGTCCCTTTTTGTTATCAATGAATTGCTTGTGGAAATCAAATTAGGGGCACTCAAGCAAGGGCCTTAAGGATCTTATTCTTATTGTCTTTATGCTACAATTCCCTAAAATAAATGAATGGCTACGTTACATATTAACTGAGAGGAAAAGCTTCTATAAGATGTAATTTTGAGAAAATTCTATGGCAATTGTTTTTTAACCCATCAGGCTTTGGAATAAATAGTCTGTCCATTTATGAGTTTTGTGATATGGAGATAAAGAAAGTACCTACTTCATAGGATGGTTTGATATCAGGCCCATCCTATAAGATTATCTCAGAAAGACAATGAGATAATGCATGTAAATGAGATAATGAATATAAATGGTTTTGTACAGTGACATCTCTTTAATGGTGACTATTATTCTGAATGCCTATAGGACAGCTTATATTAGAGAACCTGAACTATATTAATTATAGTTCTGCCACACAATCATCATTTGTAGATATCATACTTCTTTTTAAAAAGTTTGCATATATTTGTATTTTAAAGTTAATAAATTAATTATGGACTCTGTAACAGTTAAATCAGATGGTTTGACAACTTGATTCAACCTGGCTTAAAGTTTATTAAAACAATAATATTTATGTTTCTATGACACTTTTATACTTTAATCCATCCAAGGACTATGGAAGGTAGATACTCTTTTCTCTGTTTTTTGAATGAGAAGATTTCCCAAATTTAAGGGTCTTATGTAGTGTTATATAGCTGGTTAGAGATTTGAACTACGGTTTTGATCTTTAGTCCCTTCCTTCTCTGTGGCACTGGTGATTCATCTCGCCGAGAAGGAGGTCTTTTGGAGTGGTATTTTGTCTAGGGTTTATAAGTGGCAGTATTTGCTTTTGTACCCATGCTCTTGGCTAACCTTGCAGTTATGAAATATATGCTCCGTGGCTCTGGAAAGGGGTAGGAAGGGCAAGAATAACCTTATAAGAGTTTGTAACCACTGACTCAACTTGTACACAAACACCAGCAGGTTCAGGCAGTAATGAGTTTCTTAGTATTTAGGAAAGGCAACATTGAAGAGCTCTGCAAACACAATTTTCCTGTTCTTTTGTCTCTCCCACAAAACCCCAGTAAAAGCATAACCTTGCAATCCCAGTCCAGCTTCCAAAAATAACAGAACTGCATTCCTTTCATTTAGAAAATTTGCTTCTGGGTAGAGTTCCATTTCTGCTGGCCCTACCTTAAACCCTGGTGGTGGTCATTGGAATAGTGTCCCTTGTGCCCTTCTGTACTTCAGCATCACCTATTACATAGCACCTTGGGAGTAACATCATAATCACAGTTACATTTTTGAGACAAATGCATTTTGTGGCAGTTTGGTTTTTTTTGGTAACTTCTTGGCTCTTACATATGTTCAATGGACAGTTGTTTATTTTTGCTGGTTTCTGTGACAGATGAGTTGAATAACTGTAAAATTGAGGCCTCTTTATGTAAGCCTGGTCATCATCCAGATACATAAGCAGACAAAAATAGGGAAAAGAATAGAAAGGGAAAGAAGAGGACAGGAGACTGTTTTGATTAACTCATAGATTGATTGATTTACTCCTAATGCGATGCAGAAATACTGTCACTAAACAATTTTTTTCTCCAGTACCATCCTGTGCAATTATGATATCTCATTTGCAATATATACAGAAAATAAATCGTCCTTGTTATAATTTTAAATTGGGCATCTGATCACTACTGAAGGGAGACCACTAAAATGAGTAAAAACACAAGACTTAGAATTGCTATCATATTACCTTGCCTCTTCCCATCTTCTTCTAACTCAACGTCTTCAGGGACATGTGATCCTTATCATATGGGCCATAAACAGTAGTATTTTTCTGCGTTGAGTGCAGAAGTTAAAGATGGTGGCAAGTACAACTGTTCCTCCTTGTAAACCCTATTGGCTATATCAAATTATTGGGATTACCCAGACCAACCAGTCTGTCTTTTAGGCTATGTCTGTCTCTCATCTCTGGACCTTTGCACTTGCTGTTCCCTCCGATTAGAAAGTCCTCCCCTTCTGCCGGCTGACGCTCTCCTTTCAGATCTTAGGTTGCCTATCAGGTTTCAATGCATTTTGTGGCAGTTTGGTTTTTTTTGGTAACTTCTTGGCTCTTACATATGTTCAATGGACAGTTGTTTATTTTTGCTGGTTTCTGTGACAGATGAGTTGAATAACTGTAAAATTGAGGCCTCTTTATGTAAGCCTGGTCATCATCCAGATACATAAGCAGACAAAAATAGGGAAAAGAATAGAAAGGGAAAGAAGAGGACAGGAGACTGTTTTGATTAACTCATAGATTGATTGATTTACTCCTAATGCGATGCAGAAATACTGTCACTAAACAATTTTTTTCTCCAGTACCATCCTGTGCAATTATGATATCTCATTTGCAATATATACAGAAAATAAATCGTCCTTGTTATAATTTTAAATTGGGCATCTGATCACTACTGAAGGGAGACCACTAAAATGAGTAAAAACACAAGACTTAGAATTGCTATCATATTACCTTGCCTCTTCCCATCTTCTTCTAACTCAACGTCTTCAGGGACATGTGATCCTTATCATATGGGCCATAAACAGTAGTATTTTTCTGCGTTGAGTGCAGAAGTTAAAGATGGTGGCAAGTACAACTGTTCCTCCTTGTAAACCCTATTGGCTATATCAAATTATTGGGATTACCCAGACCAACCAGTCTGTCTTTTAGGCTATGTCTGTCTCTCATCTCTGGACCTTTGCACTTGCTGTTCCCTCCGATTAGAAAGTCCTCCCCTTCTGCCGGCTGACGCTCTCCTTTCAGATCTTAGGTTGCCTATCAGGTTTCCCACAACTGACTTGGCACAGTGAAGTCGCTACTCCTTAAATGTTCTCGTAATACTTTGTACTTTCCCTAAACAGCCAGTTGTCTGTCTTACTAGACTTTGACCTTTTTGAGGTAGCTTAGGTATCTTTGAAGCCAGTATTTAGTGTGGTACCAGGCACAGAGCAGGTATTCAATATACATATACTGAAAAACAAATATGGTTAGAAGCATTTTGTGTACTGTGGAAAAGAGTTAGATTTTTTTCTTTTTCTTTCCACAAGTGCTTCGAACTTGTTCAGGTATAACTTGCACCAAAGATGTTTTTTTTTTTTTTCCTTCAATAAAACTCTAAGATATGCTGATCATACATGTTTCCTGGTGTCTTAAAACAAGAATATTTATCTCTATGGAGAAAGAAAGGAAGTTTTAAACCTTGAACATGCATTTATTCAGCACAAGCTAATGTTTTGACTACATGATTGGCTAAAGATAAGAGATCAGATCTTTAAAAACTCATGTGTGTGTAAGAGTGACTGCTTTGGTGAGGTTGACTCATTTAACTTTTATCAACTACATCAAAGAATTTTATTAGCTAGTTGAGTCTTGAAGTTGGCAAAAGTATAATTCCTTTCCCTCATTCATTGGTTTATATATATTTTCATAATATTTATAAAACTAAAACATATTTCATAGATAACTTAGAAGAATAATTTAGTATATAACTGAAAATCATACATTTATTACTTTCATTTGTGTGCTTTCATTTATTCAGTGGAAAAAACAGAATAAAATGTTGCTTTATGGTAATATCTGCCCCAACAAAGAGATATTTACATATCATATTCATATGCAGATGGACTTTTTATTCCCTACTTTTAAAGCGGAATCATTAATCCTTAAAAGAAGACAAGAAAATATAAAAAAATCAACAAAAACTAATAGTCCTCTTTTATAAAGAATTTTCATGAGGTAGACAGTGTATGTCACTTAACCTTCATAGAGATCCTATGAAGTGGTTACTGTTACCTTTTTCTTTTTTAAAAATTTTAGCTTTATTGAGATACAGTCGATATATGAAATTGTGAGATATTTAAAGTGAAGTCATGGTGATCAGAGACACAAATCTTCTTGCCTTTTTTACAGCCGATTTGCTCTGATGGTTTTCTTTCTCACGTAGGTTGTCGTACTGCTCCAACAGATTTAGTTTTCATTTTGGACGGCTCTTACAGCGTCGGCCCAGAAAACTTTGAAATAGTGAAAAAGTGGCTTGTCAATATTACAAAGAACTTTGACATAGGACCGAAGTTTATTCAGGTTGGCGTGGTCCAGTATAGTGACTATCCTGTACTGGAGATTCCCCTGGGAAGCCACGATTCGGGAGAGAATTTGATGGCGGCAGTGGAATCCATCCACTACCTAGGAGGAAATACAAGGACCGGGAAGGCCATCCAGTTTGCACTCGATTACCTTTTTGCCAAGTCCTCCCGATTTCTGACCAAGATAGCAGTAGTGCTCACGGACGGTAAGTCCCAAGATGAAGTCAAGGATGCCGCAGAAGCAGCAAGGGAAAGTCAAATAACGTTATTTGCCATTGGCGTTGGTTCAGAAACAGAAGATGCGGAACTGAGAGCAATCGCCAATAAGCCTTCTTCTACTTACGTGTTTTATGTGGAAGACTATATTGCAATATCCAAAATAAGGGAGGTGATGAAGCAGAAACTCTGTGAAGGTAAGCCTTTCTAGAATTTGGAAATAAATAATTGCACTTTCTTATATTTTGGTATGACCTGTTCATTTGCTCTAGTGCACATAGTTTTGTTCAATGTCAAATTACTTACGTCGTATGTATGCTGAGGACACATTTTTGTGTTATATTTATTCTGGATAAATTTTGATTTTGAAGACAATTCCTTTCTTATGACATCTACAGTTGGAAAATACAATATTTCATTGTATTTGTCATTTGTCCTTAGAATTACATGTCTATTGTAGAAATGGTAGAAAAAAGATACAGAAAGAGTAAAAAATATATGTAAACCACACATGATCATGTCATTCCTGTTAGTGAGTTTCTGTCTTTTTCATTCCAGTCTTTTTCTTTTTTAACTTCAGTGTGTGTGAGAGTTTATTCATATGCCCAAATAAGGATAATATTGTATATATAATTTTATACTCCATTTCCATATTATTATATATTCTATTTTTATGTGTATAATTATTATACACTATGAACATGTTAGCAGACAATCTCCTAAGATACTTCATTTAATAATTTCTCTATTTTTGTATGTTTAGTTCATTTCTAAGTTTTTTTAATATAAGTAACAATGAATATTCTTGTACATAATTCTGAATGGAAATTTCTCATTTCTTCAAGAAAACAAAGGTCAAATTACTAACATTTTTAAAGCTCTGGAAAATGTTAAAAATTATACTTACACTTAAACTCGTACCAGGACTTGAGAGAACATTTGAAAATATAACATTTAACGATCAATTAATTATGTTTATATCATTCCATAAAATGTAACTTAATGTTCATGATAACTCCATGGTATGGGAAAGTTCCAATTTTTGGAAAGCATTAACCTTATTGGGGTTTAAATATGCTTATAATCAGATTATTTTGGGAGAGAGTAATTTATTTTCATATCTTTATTTTTCATATTATAGGCATTTAATTATACCATGTACCTAAAAAAAATAATGAAAATTGGAAAGGCTTTGCTTTAATTTACCTACAAAAGTCCAGAAATAGGTTGGTTCACATTTGATAGAAAATTTTCAAATCATTGTGGCTTAGAAAACAAATTAATTACCTTTTTCTTCTTCATATTTTTTGGGGAATATGGTAGAGAAAGATATTTAAAATTTTTCTAGATTATTTATTAAAGAAGTACAGGAAAGTAAGACTTTTCTTTGATCAAAGTTTTTAAAACGTCCTATAGTAAGCATAAATTGTCACCACAGTTACTCCTTTTATGAGTCTCCAGCAGTAAGACTGGGTTGACTTTGGTCATTTTGAACAGGCCAGAGGGATTTAGATTTTTTTCCAGTTTTACTGAGGAATAATTGACATGTATAAATGTTTAGTATGTCGTCAGATGAGGTAGAATTCTTCAGTTTTGAAGGTAGGTATATTTCATTATTAAAATTAGGCTTTTCATGGTAAAATTGTAGTTACCACCCATTTTTATCCTAAAATATAAATTTGATTAAATATGTCTGTTCTGTATTTGCTTCAGAGACTTTTTCTGTAAATAAATATTTAGGTAAATGCATTATCTCTATTTAAATAATGTGATTGTACATGAAAGAGTAACTGTGCCTAAAAGGAGTAAAAAAAGCCTTTCAGCTAAAATGTACAATCTGTAAAAGAAAAACAAATCAGGTTTGCCAAATATTCTTCATCCACACTCAAAAAAGAATGTAAGTAATGTCTGTGTCTATTCAGTTCACATGTGTGCTGTATAATAGCTATCTTTTAAAACATAGTTTTTGAAATTGTACATATGGAATATATGGACTTTTTTGCACTTGACTTTATAAGATTAATGCACTAAATTAATGCATTCTACATTACAGCAGCCTCAAACCATGTAATTTTTCTTTAAATCCTGTGGCTAACTGACTTTTTTGGGGCACAAATAATTAACATCTACTTTGAGGGGCTTAGCATATAAGATTACCATCTCCTCATACACCTAATTTTTTATACTCTGCTATGGGTGAGCCACAACAAACAAAACTATTTGCCTCTTTGTTCCACATGGATTAGTTCATCTCTATGAATGTCTTCGTTTTTTTCTTTTTTTAAAAAATTGTAAAAAATACTGATCTACCCTATTAATACATTTTAAGTGTACAGTACAGTATTGTTAACTAAAAGTACAGTGTTGTATTGTAGCTATCTAGAACTTTTTCACAATGCATTACTGAAAAACTCTATGTCTATTGAACAGTGACACCTATTTTCCCCTTCCCCTCAACCCAGGCAACCACCAATCTACTTCCTGTTTCTATAAATTTTACTACTTTAGGTACTTCATAAAAATGGAATCCTGCAGTATTTTTCCTTCTGTGACTGGCTGTTGGGATTTTGATAGTGATTCAATTGAATCTGTAGATCATTTTGGGTGAAATGGTCATTTTCACAATATTGTGTTTTCTAGTTTATGGGCATGAGATGTCTTTTCAGTTGTTTGTGATTTTAATTTCTTTTAGCAATGTGCTGTAGTTTTCATCATTCAAGTGTTTCATCTCCTTGGTTTAAATTTATTCCTTAGTATTTTATTAGTTTTGATGTTCTGGCTCGTACTTCCAATGCTATGTTGAATGGAAGTGGTAAGAGTGTGTGTCTTTTGTCTTGTTCCTGATCTTAGGGGAAAAAATTTCAGTTTTTCACCACTGAGTATGAAGTTAGCAGTTGGCTTTTCATATATGGCCTTTATAATGGCCTATATAGCCACTTTGTTGAGAGTTTTTATCATGAAAGTGTGTTGAATTTTGTCAAATGCTTTTTCTGCATCTGTTGAGATGATTATATGACTATCCCTAATTATCTTCATTTGGGATATCATATTGATTGATTTCATAACTGAACCATTCTTGCTTCCCAAGGATAAATCCCACTTGGTCCTAGTGTATGATCCTTTTTATCCTTTTGAAATGCTGTTGAATGCTAGCATTTTGTGGAGGATTTTTGCATGTGTGTTCATCAGGAATAGTGGCCAGTAGTTTTCTTTCCTGGTAGTGTCTTTTTCTGGATTTGATACCAGGGTGCTGCTGGCTCATAAAGAGTTTAGAAGTATATCCCTAATTATCTTCATTTGGGATATCATATTGATTGATTTCATAACTGAACCATTCTTGCTTCCCAAGGATAAATCCCACTTGGTCCTAGTGTATGATCCTTTTTATCCTTTTGAAATGCTGTTGAATGCTAGCATTTTGTGGAGGATTTTTGCATGTGTGTTCATCAGGAATAGTGGCCAGTAGTTTTCTTTCCTGGTAGTGTCTTTTTCTGGATTTGATACCAGGGTGCTGCTGGCTCATAAAGAGTTTAGAAGTATTCAGTTTTTTTTAGAAGAATTTGAGAAGGATTGACATTAATTCTTAAAATGTTTGGTAGAATTCACCACTGTGGAGAATTGGTCCTGAGCTTTTCTTTGTTGGGAGGTTTTTAATTACTGGTTCAGCATCCTTACAGATGTGTTCAGATTTTCTGTTTCTTCATGATTCAGTCTTGGTGGGTCATATATTTTGGACATGTATCCAATTCTTCTAGCTTATCAGATTTGTTGGTGTATAATTATGATCTCTTATGGTCCTTTGTGTATCTGTGGCATCAGTTGTAATGTCTCCTCTTTCATTCCTAATTTTATTTGAATTTTCTTCCTTTTTTTTCTTAATTTAGATAAGGATTTGTCAGTTCTGTTGATCTTTAAAAAAAAACCCAACTCTTATCTTAATTTTACCATTTTTTTTTGTTTCACTATGCTCTACTTCATTTATTTCTACTCTAATGTTAATTTTTGTCTCCTTTACACTAATTTTGGGCTTAGTTTGTTCTTTTTTGTGATTCCTTGACACATAAGGTTCAGTACTCTGAGATCTTTACTCTTTTAATGTAAATGTTTATCACTGTAAACTTCCATCTTAGTACTGCTTTTGCTGCATTCTGTAAGTATTGGTATGTCATATTTTGGTTTTTGTTTCTCTCAAGATATTTTCTATTTTGGTTTTTGATATTTCTATTCTGATATTTTCCCTTCTGGTTTCTTCTTTGATTCAGCGGTTGTTCAGGAGCATGTTGTTAATTCCCACACATTGGTGAATTTTCCAGTTTTCTTCCCCTGCTATTAATTTCTAGTTTCATTCCATTGTGGTTGGAAAATAAACTCAACATTTTCATTCATTTATCATTTTGTGTATATACGCTTTATAGATAATTTCTTTGTGGTTACCATGGGAGTTACATAAAGCATCACACTGTTATATAACAATTTCTTTTAAGCTGATAACAGTGTACCTTCAATCACATAAAAATAGTCGACATTTTTGTTTCTTCCTGCCTCCCCTCACACTTTATTGATGTCACCAGTTACATCCTCTTATACTTTTACAATTATGATTACTGTTTATACATTTGTCTTTAACTTCTATATCAGAATTAAAAGTGATTTGCATATCACCCTTACTGTTTTACTGTTCTCATAAACTGGGCCCGTGTGAACAGTTTCTTAATTAGAGGCTGATGGATTATTTTTCAAGAGCTCATAATCTCACTCCCTTTGATGTCTGCCTGCAGCACTTATATTCTCTTGTTCTTTAGCTACAAGTTTCCCTGCTCTCCCTTGTTCTCCGTGGCCACCAGGTATCCATGCTTGTTCCTTGTCATCATCCTGGGCCAAGACTGATATCATTCCCTCAGTCAGCCCTTTGAAAAGCTGGGATGCTGGATACATCCTCCATTCTTTTCTCTTCCTCCTGTGGGAGAAGCCTCAAGGTTTGTGTTTTTTCCCGATCATGCTGAGCCATGCCATCCACAACATGCCACCCACCATTCTTCTTTCTTCTCTGCAGTGCCCAGGCATCGGCATAGTTCCAGTTCCTTTAGTGCCTCCAGATGAAGTGAGGTAGACACCGGTCTCTTGGGCAGCCCTCTGAAAAGCTGGAGCATTGAATACATCACTGTTCTCTTCCCGCTCCCCGAGGAAGAATGCCACAAGCCAGGGCATTCTCTTCTGGCACTTATTTGTTCAGGCTTGGAGGAGGGATAGAAATGAATGAAAATGTTGAGTGATGTGGGTAAAGTGAAATTATTCTTATTACCTGTTCAAATGTGACTGTTCTTGACTCTGTGCTCACCTGGCATACCTCAACTTGCTAAGTGGAATTTGGAGGGCTCATAAAGGTATTTTTGTCCATATATTATTGTTAAATCAATGTTTCATTGGGAGAATGTGGGCTGGGATTTCCTATTTCACCATTTTGCTGATGTTATTCGTTCTGTTCCTTTTTTGAGTCAACCAGGCATGGGTTTGGTGCAACAGAATTAAGAGGGTGAAAGTCATTTCCCTTGGTGTCCTAGAAGATACCTTCCTCAGGTGTCTTGAAAGGCTTCCACCAGCCTGTGGCTTGAAGTGCTGGGTCTCAGGACCCACATTTTGATTCAGGTGTGTTGAATTTCCCTGTGTGCAAGTAGTGGGTAGTTAACAGGCTCTAGAAAATTGCCTGTATATTCTTACTGTTTCATTTTCCATGTTCCTGTTTCCATGTCCCATTTTGACTTTTAGATGAAGTGGTATATTTATGTATTTCTTAAAAGAGTATATGGTGTTGACTTGCTCACGAGGGGCAAAGCCTGAAGGTCAGGAGGCTACTATCTGAGCAACAATACATGACTTCTGGAGAAGAGTGACATGCAGACAATCTGGCAATGTAGAAGTGGATTGAATAGGATGGAATAAGCGAGGTAGATAAGATATAACATGTTCATTAGTGCTCCTGTGACATTAACTTATAATTAGAAAGGTGTAGCTGGACACATTTTATTGCCCTACTTAGACTTAAGATATATAGTTTTCATGCCCCTGTCCTTGGCAGGATTTTAAATAAAACTCATGTTGTATGCTCTCAGTAAGGCTGAATTATACTAATAAATAAGCCCTGAGATTTAACAGAAAAGTATTTTTGGACTGCATTGCTTAAAATAAACGGAGTAATCTGTACTCATCCCAGAAAGCATTCCTATTGCAAATACTCTCTGAACCTAGGGGAGCAAAATGTAATTATAACTGTGTAGTCTGTGTAGAAAACCATTTGTAAACTTAAATCTGTGGATTTTTTTTTGTCCTTGCTCCTGCATGCACCCCTTTAACTAACTCGGTTTATCTCAGTTGTTCTACTTACCAGTTGTAGGTGTTCTGGCAAGTTCCCAACTGAATCTCTCTTAGCATTTGATATTCCTGGTACTTATAATTCTAACTTTCAAGTTCCAATTTTTATTTTCAGTTTCTTTTCTCCTCTCAGAATGTGCTTGTATACATATTCATCTATTTCTTTTTCCTACAGAATGGAGAAGTTAATTATTTACCTCTGTTTCCCCTGAAGTTTGTACAAAAATTGTTGATTAATAAACAAAGTAGCATTTTACATATGGAAACTTTCTTTTACCTGTTTCTCATAGCTAGGTAAAATGCAAACATACAAATTTTATTTGAGCATCTTAACTACATTTTTCTTCTCAGTTCCCATGTGTAGGGATATCTTATTGTTCTCCTTGTAGGTGAGCAAATTGGGAAGAAAAATTGTTCCTTCAAGAAATTAGAATTTTTAAATACATTTTTCCCTAATAAGATGTGCCAGGTAGTAATGAAAACACAGCTACATTGTGACTATTAATTTATACTCCTCATTTCAGAAATGTGCTACACTGTTTCCTCTAAAATTTGGGGGATTAGAATATAGTGTAGAGGATTTTATTTAGAAAAAGAACACAATATTGGCTTTATTTGCCACTTGGTGTGCCATTTCGGAGTTACAAGGCACTTTCACATACATCATCATTTTTGATCTTCAGACAAACCCCGTGAGGATCATTATTTTTGCTTCACAGAGGAGAGTCCAGAGGTTCATGAAAGGTTAAGAGAAAGGCTTAAGTTCTTGTCTAAGTCTGGACTTTTCATCCAACAGCTTATAACTTATTTTCTGTAAAGCAAATCAAAGCAGCAATTCAAATATGAATATTCTTATGATGGAATGTGTAACATTTTCTTCTCAGAAACATCTTTCTTTTGCAGCTTTAAATCAATTGCATTTGAAGTGAGGCATCATAGATTGTTCCATATACCTCCCCGTACTTCCCCCACCACCAAAATAAGAATGTGCATCCTAATGACAGGGAAGATTAATTTTATTCATTGATTTATGATTTAAAATGTTACATGTGGTGTTATTGACAGCTCTTACCCTGTTTCTCATGTCTTCACGTGGAGGGACCTCGGGAGACAAACTCCTCCCCTCGCTCTCTCCCCACCTTTTTTCACTCCTTACCACTGAATGAGGAGATACATTTCGGATTAGTAGGTTTGATCAAAGTAGCTGTTTATGGTTGGCAAAGTGTCTTTGGCTTCCTCTCCTTTGGATCACTGGGTCTGTGGAGCTGGTATGTTCTGGTTTCCTCTCTAGACCATGTGTGAGCTTAGTGGCTTAGTGGGTAGGCCTTGCTCCTGAGGTGGGGTGGAGAACAAACCAACCCTGCATTGCTGGGAGGCTGTGGTTAATTATGGTGTGCAGTTCATGGAAGTCACTGAATCACAAATCTAACCAGCATCTTCTGTTTGCCTGAGTCCTATATTTCCCCATCAGTTACCTCCAAGCTTACCAGCGGAAGAAGGGTGTAATTGACTGGGTCCCTTCAAAACTCAGCATCTTAAGACCTGAAGTGAGAAATATCCCTCCATTCCTAGGAATTTATCTAGTTTCATTTATATCAACCCTTTATTTCCAATATTCTGTGGTACAAATGATGATTGTATGTGTTGAGCTAATGAAATCCATTTCATGACTTTTTATTGTGTTATAAATACATGTTTTGTAAGAGAGTGATTATCTTAAAGTACACGTAGTGGAATTTTTGTTTTATTCTCTTAGCTACTTTATAAAATATAAGCAGTCATGTTCGGTCTGTATGTTTTTTAAGGGTCTTGGAAAAATCTGAAATATTGCAACATTTCTGTAGTATAACAGCTTAGTAACATTTCAGCCATATAAATTTTTCCATATAATTTGAGACACAAGTTTCCCAGGGAAGTTAAAGCATGTTATATTCTTATAATTTATATAGATATGGATGACTGTATAATGGAAAACTTAATGATTCTTCTTAAGAAAAGTCTTATTTATAAATATGTTTAATATAATAATAATATGATTAATCATGGATGAGATAATAGGCCCATTTGAAGAACTTCTTTGACAGAAAGGACCCACAGTTAAGCTTTTTTCCAGAGTGATAGAACCAATATTTGAGCTGTAAAATTATAAACTGCTAGAATTGGAAAGAATATCAAGAACAACACATATTTTTTTATCCTTCTAATTCTGGGAATGCTAGAAAGGAATCTTAGAGTTCATCTCCTAGGTCCAAGAAATTCAAGAGAGTTATCCAAAGTCATGTGACTAATAGCAAATCCTGGATAAGAATCATGAATCCTATCCCAGTGTTCTCCTTCCCCCCAGGTATTAGGTTGCTTCACATTCAGTATTGTGAATTATAAGCTTCAGCAGAGTGTTACCCTTAAAGCAATCCATTAACAAATGTTCTTCTTACATTTCTTTTTTATTTTTAGGGACAATAAAGACGAGACTTCACTTTCAATTGTCAAAAACACTCCCTACCTGTTGTGTCAGAAAATACATTTACATACATTCGTATACATTTGCATGCATATATAGATTTTATGATTCTCACGTTCCCTAGTATTTCTCCCTCGATTTTCTTTTGTTGTTGAAACAAGCCACAATTAGTCAACTTTTACTGCTTTTGCTTTTGCTTTATAGAATCTGTCTGCCCAACACGAATTCCAGTGGCAGCTCGCGATGAGAAAGGGTTTGATATTCTTTTAGGCTTGGGTGTAAAGAAAAAGGTTAAGAAGAGAATCCAGCTTTCACCAATAAAGATAAAAGGATATGAAGTTACATCAAAAGTTGATTTATCAGAATTCACAAGGTAAATGTTATGTATTGGTACAGTCTTTTTTTAATATGTCTGTAGACGTGTTGAGAATTTTTTAAGCTTACACGTGTTCTTCTTTTTCTAGCAATGTTTTCCCAGAAGGTCTTCCTCCATCATATGTATTTGTCTCCACTCAGAGATTTAAGGTCAAGAAAATGTGGGATTTATGGAGAATTTTAACCATTGATGGAAGGCCACAAATAGCAGTTACCTTAAATGGCGTGGATAAAGTGTTATTATTTACAACAACCAGCATAATTAATGGCTCACAAGTGGTCACCTTTGCTGACCCTCAAGTTAAGGTAAAGATGCTCAAGTATGATAATGGTGTTAATGGGGAAATCACCATCAGGTTTGTGTGTGTTGGGGGAAGAAAGCCATAATTTTAACTTGACTTAAAAGATAGGGACTTCATATTTTAATGTTGCTTAACTGACAAGGACGGACAATTGTTTTTTAGTCCATATTGGGATTAAGGATGGAGGGAACTAAACATTTTCAGTGCCTGCTACTAGGTGCCAGGAACATTTAATTATAATAACCACCCATGGAAGAAGCTGTTGCTCTCATTTCACAGATGGAAAACCAAGGTTCAAGTATATTACGTTCCTCTCAAAGTAACAAAATTAGTAAGTGATGACATTAGAAATTGAATTTAGTTCTGGACAGTTTTAATGTCCATGTTGGTCTGATGTGCACTGCCATGTCATACAATATATTGAGATAATAGACATATTTGTGAGAACATTAAATACAGGTAGATAATGGGTCAAAGTTCACATTTGTTAAGAGGACATTTTATTTCCCCAAAAGGAGCATATATTTAATAAAATTGATGAACTAAAAATAGTGGTTTTTGAAGTCAAATGTTCAGAATATAGATAGAACAATGAAAACAATCATATTTTGGTCATTACTGTAATTATAGTCAAATAGCATATTATATAATTTAGGAAATACATAAGGTTATATATGAAATCATGCATTTATGCAACTGAGGGAAGAGAAGGGGATAAAGACAATTGTTATGGTTTAGAAAATGAAGATACTATTATTATCCAGGGGAAATTGGGAGAAGGAGAAAAATTGGTATATTGTTAATTCTATCAGGCTGATTATGAAATGTACTGGTAGAATTATTCTAGCCAGTATTAGAATTATAGGTCCCATATATAGGAAAGGGGTCCAGACATTCATGGAGATGTGGGAGTTATTCCACAGAAGTAATAATTGACCTGTAGGAATGGATGAGATGGTCAATGGGAAGAATGAGAAAGATCCAGGACAGATTTGGGGAATGATCTCACATGAGGGCAGGTTGAGGAATAGAAAATAGAGAATGAAATTGAAAGAAGAAATAGAAGCAGAGAAATAGAGAATGAGTTGAAGATGATCAAGATGGTTGGAGTCATGCAAGGTGAGTGAGAATATCAAGCAGGATGGGCGATAGGGTTCAAAGCTGCAACGAAGTGAATAGGATGAGGAATGAGAGAGGCCACTTGGATTCAGAAATTAGGAACTTATTTGTGAGGAGGTTGTTTCAGGAAATGGTTTGATACAACTTTTATACATAATGGAAACTCCACTAGGGATTTAATAAAATATTGGTGAGTAGCATTTGAGGCCCAGGTTGGGTCAGGGTGAATTAGTATCTGATTCACCCAGTCTGTGTGATGTGGATTTATGGCGGGGGCAAAGGAATGGGAACAAATAGAACATTTTTAGGAATTTATGTCTATTCCGTGCTTTCTTCCTCTAGACATTATTTGATGAAGGCTGGCATCAAATTCGCCTTTTAGTAACAGAACAAGATATAACTCTGTATATTGATGATCGACAAGTTGAAAACAAGCCCTTACATCCAGTTTTAGGCATCTTCATCAATGGCCAAACACAAATTGGAAAATACTCTGGGAAAGAAGAAACTGTTCAGGTAGATAAAGAATGATTTGCTTTTTGCATTACATAAGATGGACTTTTGCTGTCCTTTGTGATAATATTTATCATGTTTAACTGTAGTTAGCTTAATTGTGAATTTCTTTAAGATAGATACTTAATCAAAAGGTAATCAGTTCATTAGCAAAATTTGTGTTTGTGTGTGTGTGTATGAAAATGCACAATTGATCAGTTTTATAAGAATTCTTAGAAATTTTCTTTGTTCCCTTGAGTTCAGGATATGGTTTTACATTCTTATGAAACATTAATTTCATATTCTGAGGAGATGTGTAGATTAAATAATGAATTTGGAAAAGAGGAAACGATTACAGCTGTGAGTGGGAGTTACAGGAATTTCTTTGCAGCTGTGAGAATAAAATAAATGCATGTCAGAGTTCTTCATAAACAAAACTGTGCCTTTTTGGATATCTCTGTAAACTAGAGTATCTATGTGTGAGTTGAGAAATGTGTATGTAACAGACAGCCATTTCTTGAAAAATCATTGATTTGAAAAGGTGTGTCTTGCCCATTCTGTTTCTATGAAGGGAAGACTCGGTGACATTCAAATGTGTGGTCACCTGGATGGTTGCCTTAGATTAATGTAACATGTCAAATTGTAGTGAATGTTTAAATAGTAACAGGTGCTGGGTCTGCTCATCACAAAATATTGCATGATGGTTTCTAAACGTCCAAAACTAAAGATGGCCTCTTGAGCCCCACTCTATGCAATCAGGAATTCGTGGAGATTTAGGATAAACGCAGAAAGCCTGGGAAAACTTTTTAAGTGGCCTAGAAAATGCTCTCTAGACTGACTTCTAATACAGGGATACTGAAAAAGCTCCATTGGGTTCCCAAAGGAAACTGGAGGTTTCTTTTGGGTGCTGGGGAAGGTTTTTTTTAGAAGTTATGTTGCATCATACCTTTATGCTACATGTTAAGTATTCAAATTTTGTATTTTTATTGTTTTAGCTCAATGCTGTGATCTAAACCTTAGACCATTGTTAAACATAGTGGCTACTTCTGTGTATCTGAGTTACTCTTATAAAACTGTTAGCTTGTGCCTCAAATTTAACTCAGTTGGTTTTATGTTCCTAGTTTGATGTCCAAAAGTTGCGAATCTACTGTGACCCAGAACAGAACAACCGAGAGACAGCGTGTGAGATCCCCGGATTTGTGAGTAGGATGAATTATTTTTCCCCATATGTTGCTTCATTCAGTACTTTCAAAGCAATAAATAAAAAGAGATAATATGCTTAAATTACTGTATAGTTTCTTAATCATTAATGCAAATAAAGTTACATTGATTAAAACATCTTTTGAAGTTCAAAGTTGAAATAAAATTATAATGTATCCCTGTGCAAATGTGAAAGACGGCAAGAACTGTGGTTTTTCCACATTATCTTGGGTTGTGATCGTTCCAGTACTTGAGTGAAGCAAGGCTAGACTTTCCCTAGAAAAACACAGGATTCTTTGAATATCCAGGGTGTAAACTACATTTCTATACATAATTTATGTGTGGATAGAACACTTCATATAATTTTGAAGAGTGGAAGATGATTCGTTTTCCTGTTCACCAGCATGTTTTCTCAAATCGTAATGAGTATATAGTTTTCTTTCTGTTGTTGTTACCTAAGTAAGATGTTCTTATAGTTCTAGGATATAAGCAGCTTTCTATTTATGTAGCTATTTTCATTATTGTGTTAGGAGGAAAAAACATTATATGCTAAAGTGTCACAGAGTCTGATTATATATGTGTGTGAGAGTGTGTTTGTGTGTATGTGTATAATCAATCTCTTTTCCCCTGTGCAAAAAAAAGTATATATTGTTGCTAAAGGAAATAAGGCTGAATGTTGTAAAACTTTTTGACAGTGTGGATTCCCAGGGATATTTGAGCCCTACATGGTTCATATTTGAGCTCTTGTTCTGGTTCTTTCCATTTGTATAGTCATACTGTCATCATCTGCTTTCTTCTGATCAAACTGAATAACTTGTGAATCCACATGTTCTAAAAACTTGAAGACATAGAGCAACGCTTTTAAGGGATCTAGGATAGTGTCAAAGATGCAACCTTTTAGCAGTCGTTCATTCTGAGTTTTCTAGATAGGTGATTGTTTAAGTATTATGACTATTAGATACTTGGTAATTTGGAATATAAATCTTGCTTAAAAAGAATAAGTTACTATATTTTGGGAGGACATTGTATATGCTTTATTTTGATATTTCTGTGACAACATTTGACCATTACTATTCTCCCATATAATAAAAGACAGCATTGGATTATAGATTTTGAGTTCTCACATCCACTTTTTTGGTCTTTTTATGTCTCCTTCCTTACTCTCAGGTGTGACTTCACGTAGCTTGTTTACCTTTTGCTTCTTCATTTCCACCATCTCATTTTCTGATCTAATTTGTTATTGTTTGGAAAGATTAGTAACCTATGTAAAATTGTGTATTTTTTAGTAAGAAATAGATTGTTTAGTGCGAAGCTCTCCTTAAGTAAAGAGCATAAAGTTTAAGGCTAATGGTTTGTGACTTGCTTAGATGCATTTTGGCTTTATTCTCTGATTCTTATATGTTCAAGTGAGCATGCAGATCCCACCTTGAGGTATTTTTGTTCGTGCATGGCCATTCTATCCACAGCTTTGGCATTTTAATTTTCTCCTTCCGCTCTTCCTTGTTGTGAATTTCCTTCCTTTTATCTTACTATAAATATAGTGCTCATCAATATAAGTGAGTAATTTTTTTAGCCTCATTGCAAGCAAATGTTTTAGTTCTTGCTGGTTTTGATACTTATATCTTGAATCTGGACAATGAAATATCTGTAAATTAGGAAGATGGTTTAGAAATTTAATTAAAAACGTGCTTAAAAACACATCTGTTATTTTTCTTTCAGAATGGTGAGGTAGGCCTGGATACTATTATTCTCCTAAGGTAATATTTACATTGTGGGACTGTTTAGCTTGCTTCTATCAACTGTAAGTATGTTAGACAAATGGAATCCATTGTTATGTAATTGGAGAGCACAGTATTCATAGATTTTTGTGATTTGGAATTTCTTATTGCACTGGCCTAAATAAATTGGAAAGTAAATATAAGATATCTTTACTATTTCACACAAACATAAGGACACGTACACATACACATACATAAAAGTACATCTGCCCATGTGGTTTATTTTCATTTTGTTTTTATAGTGCCTCAATGGTCCCAGTGATGTAGGTTCAACTCCAGCTCCCTGTATTTGTCCTCCGGGAAAACCAGGACTACAAGGCCCCAAAGTGAGTGAAAATTAACGCTCTATTTGTTAAAACGCACAAACAAGAGCTAAGCAAATGCACAGATTTCCTAATCACCTTTGACCCTGATCAAATTTCAACCCGATGCCTTAGAACTGTATAAACCAGAGTTTTAGTGATATTTTAAAAAAGTGTACCTACCTCATAACAGCCTTTGAACCTGAAGTTGATACTCCGTGCTCACAGTAGAGTAAAAGAGCATTGCCAGTCTGCTTGCTTGTTGGTTTGTTTTTCCCAAATAATGCTGCTAGGTCCCAAGAATGGTACCTCCTTACGACCTGGTAAAAAAAAAAAAAAACGGAGAAAGGGCATCGGTTAAAATATGTTCTAAATTCTTAAATGTCTAAATTATTACATTGTGAGAATGATTTTCATATAGAAAAATGAAGTAAAGAATTTAAAATTGATTTAAATGTTTTGTTTGTCTAATTCTAAAAATAGAGGCATATATATATATATACATATATTTCACTCAATCGTGTGATAAGTACTTTTGAGGAGTATATTCTTGTAGTCATTTTCATATATACGCATGTTCCATGTGCAGACGTCTATTTGTGGATATGTATATATATTATTTGTGTGAATGTGTATAAACATTTACTTAGTTGTGGACATATTTTTATGTGATTGGAACTATGATGTGCATATTATTTCATAACCCATTACTTTTTATATGATAAAATATTCTGAATATGTTCCTATGCTTTTAAATATGAATGAGTTTTTAAGTAAGTTGATAACTATTGTGGCAACACTTAGACATGTCCTAGGCTGTGAGACTGAGATGTTAAGTGGTTTGTCTGCTGTAGACAAATCTTGTTCATTTAATATTATTTGAAACTATCACCTAAAAGAATAGTGTCTAATTTGAAAGCAAGAGTAACTCCTTAGCCATAGAGTGTTTATGTGTATTGATCATCTATTACTTGAGATGATCATGGTAATTTTTGTTAAGTATGAATTGTAATGTTCATTTAGATGAAATTTTCTCACTGTGGAAATCACCATGACTAAAAAAGTTTAGTTTTTGGACTGCTGATCTCAGAGAATTTAATTCTTATCTTTTGTGCAGGTTTGTCTCATCCATTTTCATGCAATAGTTAATGATGCACTTTGAGCCTAGCTGTTAAAATCAAGAAAAATGAAATTTAAGAAGTAAAAGTATACATTTAATATTTCATTTAAAGTAAATCTATTTGGCTTGGATTTTGATGCCAATATATATAATCAATTTACTATTGTAAATTCTTTTTAGATTGTATTTAGGGAAGTTAATCCAAGTTTTCTTTAAAGTAACTACATGTTATTTAGGCTTCCTTGACCTAGAGCAGAAGTACCTGTAAGGTGCTCTGGGAGAATATACCTTGTTAGACAACTTGGTGTGACCTACCAGCAGACTTCTTTCAAAAATGTATTTATATAGTTTATTCAACTTGGAACATTGTACATAAAAGTGATTTGAACTACAAGAGATAGAATGTGGAAATCAGGGTCCCATAATGTCTGACCTTGCAAAGCTCAGAGTGCCTTTCTAACTCTTATTGAGGTTCAGGCCACCCCCTGGTCTCCAAAGGTCTTTCTCCTTTTGGGAGGCACCAGATGCCTTTAATGTTTTCTGATTGTTCATTAGTGAGTGGTCCATTAGGTGTCTTATAGAGTGACACAATTTTTATTCACATATGTTTCTACAGCAAATTTTTAGCAGCCCCTTTCTCTTATCTGGAAAAACCTCTGATTTCAATATTTCCATGTTTCATGTGTTCTTCATTTTCATTCTCTGTTCTTAGTCATAATCTTGCCCTGTTGCCACCTACTTCTTTAAGTGAAATTGCAGTTTCCACCATTCTTCAAGTTGGCATGCCTTCTTGGTCTGCTTTCCATTTAATTCAGAAAATCTGGCAGGAAGATGGGAACACACACACACTCTTCCATCCTCTTAGGGCTCTTTTCCCCTGGAGGTGGTTCTTTACCCACATGAGGGACCTGGATGTGAAAAATAGAATCCCTAGCAACCCTCCGAGTTGTACTCCCTTTAGAGAATTTCTGGCTTAGAAAATTGATAGGGTTTTAATTAAAACAACAGACCAGCCCTAAAACAGATGAGGTGATTTTACTATACATCCAGCTGAGGCTTCCTGGCCATTTTTGTTGGATGCTCTGCAAAGTGTTGCAGATTTCTGTTAGACTCACCTGCCAAGCACAGATCTAGTCATTCTATTAGCCAGAAATAGAGTTCTAAGTGACAGTTGAGTCATGCGACTGAAACAGAGGGGAAATTCTGTGTGGATTGGTAGGTAAGTGCTTATTCTAAGACAAAGTCATCTGTTTTAGGTTCTCTAAATTTTCCCCCAAAATATGACAACCGTATTGCAAAACCAAGTCAAATGAATTATGGTATTGCACACTTAGACTTATCATGGTATTTTATGATAACTCTTCAGTTAGCATAGAAAAATATATCTGTCACTGGACTGTGAGCCCCTTAAAGAGTAGCTTACTCATTTTGTATCCCTACCATCAAAGATAAGGAGTGATTAAATTAATGAATCTGTTAGAATAATTTCTATATTCAAGCATTTTACAATGGACGTTAATACAAACTAAATTCTCCTTTAGACTTCTGGTGTCTAACACAGTGCTTTAATAGGAATAATTTTCTATTTAATGAATTATAAAATTATTGAAAAAATAAGATTCATCCTTGCCCCCGTTAATCTATATTGAATATCTTTGTTTTCTATATGAAAGAGCCAGGCAATCCCCAGTTTACAAACAGCTCCTTTTCAGAAAACCTATACATGCCCATGGCCGCTGCTTCCCCCACTTCATTAGCCACAGGAACATCTGTGGGGGAAAAACTCCCCACATTTGATTTAAGCTTATATGTTAGATCTGTTAGTTCAAAATAAATGGAAAGAAAGCTTTTTTTAAAAATTTTTTTGGAAGAAACTATTTCTGACCAACTCCTTTTCTCTGAAATACCACGCTCTCTACAACCATGTCCCTGTTGACACTCTTTGTTTCCCTCTAATGTTGCCACAGATGTAGAGATTTATTTGAATTATCAAAGCCTTTGGAAAATTTCAGGGGCCACTGGACATTCACATTTTTATGGTAATTTTTCCAGACGAAGTGGATCCTTTCTAGCCCAAGAGTGAGTGTTTGAGTTTTGAGGGAGGGGAGAGGTTGGTTTTAGAGACTGAAATAGGTCTTAGGTCAGATGCTCCAGATGAGGCCAGATGGTAGCATGAAGGCCCAAGGAGTTGGAGAAGAGGCCTTGGAAACATGGGATTTGTTTTAGATGAGCAACTGAAACTATTAGCTTCCGTCTGCAAGCACACTGTTTAATTATTCATATTTGCTCTGCTTGAGAGGCCATATTCAGAGATATTTTAGCTTAGTCCATCACATTTCCACTCCTGTCAACAACTCAAAAATCCTGTGGCACAAACTCAGTTCAACATAAGTATTGCTTTTCAGCTGAATACATTTTTTGAAATTCAAAATGTGCAAGTGTTCAACTAAATTAGAAGAAAGTGGACTGGGAATTTAGTCACAGTGGTACAATAATAAGTCATATATCTAATGTATTTGGAAGTGTTTTTCATGTTAAATTTGCTAACAGTCCCAGGTGTGGTTCTGATCAATATACACATTTGAATGTGGACGGGGATAGTAGTGTTTAGGAGCATGGGCTCCTGGGACTGAATTGGCTGAATTCGAGTCTGATCTCAACTGCAGCTGTGTGACCTTGATCAAGTTAACCTAATCTTCCAGGGCCTCAGTTTTCCTTTATATAAAATGGGCATAACAAAATTACCTGCTTCATGGGATTATTATGAGGATTAAGTGATATAGTATATGTAAATCTCTTAGAACTGTGCTTAGCATATAATAAACATTCAAAGACTGGGTGTCAGCTTTTCTCACAGTATTCAAATTGAATTTTTGTTCTAATTGCCCTTCTCTCCAAAGTTAGGGTTTTACTATATTTTTCTGTTTTTATGAAATCAACACCAAACATGCCTGAGTTTTTGCAAATAGTAGGGCAATCATCAAAATAACCAGGAAAATTGACTAGCCATCATTGAATCTGCAAAAGAGATCATTTTCCCTCTTGGGGCTAGGGTCTTAGGAAAAGTCATATTGGTTCTATCTTGTGGGTGATTTTTTTTTCCCTTGGAAACTTAGTTTTGATTCATTTAAAATGTTAAATGTGTTTTGTACTTTTATACAGCATAAAAAACACAAATCCATTTCTTCTTGTGCCAAAGGTTTATTTCTGTCTCATCACAGAAGTGGTGAAACCCTCACAGATCCTTCTGAGGTCCTAGATTTTGATGATAATTTCTATTTTGTAAATAAAGGGGTCATCAACAAACATTTTATTTGAAATAAATCAATCAGCAAATAATTCCTGAATACCCAGCATTGTCCAAAATGAAAAAGAGGAAACTATCGACCCTGTTTCCTAGGAGTCTTAATCTAAATGATAAATGAAGACTAATCAAGGAAAAACTCTAAGAGAATTCTAGTTATTTATACGCAATCAGTGAAGTAAGAACTGCCATAGCATTTCAGTACAGAAAGACTTCAGGAGAAAATGGAGCCCTGAGGATGGTGCAGTGATAGAACATTTTGTCGTATTGATTGTTAAGTGGAAAGGGAAGAAAAACTCCTTTCCAGGGGAAATAAATGTTAGAAGCTGTTGAAAGGCAGTGAATCCAATCTGGGCACAGATAAAGAAGGATGCCAGGGAGGCTAGGGATTCGTCAGGACCCTCTCAGAAGAAGAAGAGAAAAGCTCTGACTCCTTAGAGAACCAGAGCATTGCTCCCTAAGGCCCCACTAGCACGGAAGTCCTTGGACCAGAATTATATCTAGACAGATTATGTCTCTTCAGCAAGACATCACATGTTTCAGCATTAGTTTTCTCCCTGCATTTAGAGCTATTCTTTCTCTATTTATTTTTTAAAAAATGACATTTCCCTTCTTCCCAGCCTTTCCTCATGCTAAGCCTCTTAGACAGCCCCTAAATGGGAAGCCCATCCCTTTTTCACTGGCTTCTTAATTGAGTTCACATAGTTCTTTCCATTTTTCCTGTTATGTTTCAGGAACAAGTCTCGCTCGCCAGTAGCCTGAAGTAGTATTACAGACCAGCCAATTTGTTACTCTGAAAGTACGCTTGGCCTTGGTGTTTAGTTAACGTATCATCACTGGGATCTTGTGCGAATGATTCCTTGATGTGAATTTGTGAAGAATTGGTGAACTGAAATCAGGTGACTCTGTGTAGGAGTTTACTGATACTGATGGCCAGGACTTCATGCCCCACATGGACCTCATGGACTCAGGGATAGGGAGATGAATATGATATTATTTTTGAGGGATTTCTTAGATTTAAATTATAAAACATCCTAAAAAAATGTTGCTTTCATTGCTTTTTTCATGGGTGGTGACCCTCTGATGGTCACTACTGGCCATTGGACAACATACCAGAGTTCCCTAGAATGTGCCTGGGATCATTGCCGTGTTGTACAGAATTATGTTCTTTGAAGATCTCTGGTTTGAAGGGCAAAGGCCATTTCTTCATTTCTTGGGTATTACGTGTGCTCAAGGGCTGTGAGTGTTGGGCAGAGTTATTTGGCTTGGACGTCCCTCTCATGAAAATATTTGAACTTTAGAATTTTAACATTATATTAAAATGAGATTATAAATGCAGGCAAAGACACACATTGACTGGATTGAAAGTAATGACTGTGGTGCAGCTTTAAACTTAACTCCTATGTGTAAGATCACATGGCCTGTGGGCAGTTTTTTGCAATAAATAATTATGAATTGACTGCATCATAAGTCATTGATATCTGTAGTGTACCATTTAGAGCAGAATTCAGTCTGTAACTTATGAGTGTAGTATTGCTGTCACTGAAGCTGTATTTGCTATGACACTGCAAGGTTTGTTCAGAACTCTGAAAATTATCCTGCCGTAAATATTTTGCTGTGATATTTTGCTGTGATATTTTGCATCACTGAAAAGAACTTTATTTGTTACACCTGGTATGGTCACAGAAATAAATCATTGTAGGTTTTTCATAATAAAAAGCATGTATTTGTTAAGCTAGACATCTAAAATATGACACTTTTCAACCCCATTTTGGGACTTTTGTTTGTTCGCTTTTAGTATACAAAAAGCTGCCAATAAGGAGTTGGCTTGAACCTTGATGGCTCTTGACTGCACCAGTGTGGTTGATTGTTTTGTACTGAGTTTTTTTTCCTCTACAGGGTGAACCTGGACGGCCTGGGAACCCTGGCTACCCTGGACAACCTGGTCAAGATGGTAAGCCTGTGAGTACTGAAAGCTTAGTCATCTCCAGTACTGGGATTATAGTGTCAAAGTAAAAATTTCACTGGGCAAAGTTAAACAGGCAAGGAAGATTTTATTCAAGACGATTGTAATGGGAGAGAGACTGAACTTCAGTCAGCCGAAACAAAGGGAGGGAGGGTTCTTCAGTGCTGGAATGAGCTAACGGGAAAGTACAGGAAGGCTTGAAGGGGAAGGTTGATCGATAACGGATGGAGCAAACTGAGTTATTCTGAGTTTGGCAAATATTTTCTTCTGTCATGAGGCCCTCTCTGTTTGTTAACTTGCACCCACCAAGGTTAGGTTCTTACCCTCACACAGAGACTGGGGAGCCTGGGTGCATATTTTCCTTAATGATTACATTTCAAAGGTATGGCTCCCAGGTCCGTGAAAAGGACATTCCTGGGTTGTAAAATGGCCAGGAGACTTTTTAAAAGATTTATATCTCCAAGGGGCAGAGAAGGAATTTAGAATTGCAAATGTTCTAAAGTAAATGCTCTAGGAAAAGGGAAGGTAGGGACGCAGAGTTAGGAATAAGGCTGTCTAAATAAGTCTTCTTTAAAGCATTTTAGGCAAATGTTTACAGGTAAGTCACCTGTCGGCATGTTTATAAAAGTAATTAAACATTAAGAATTAGCTCTTGAATGTTAAAGAATAATTGTCATCCAGTAAGGTACTTCCTAAGAGAGTTTCTAAATCATGCAACATTAACTCTTGCCATAAAGGATGGGGAGGTTTGTATTATGAGACAATAATGTTCAAGGAATGAAAGAAACACAGGACTAACATTAAACTGCCAATACCCCAAACATCAGGATAGAGGAGGAGCTTATTAAGTCCTTGAGAGAGGTTTGCTGAGAAATTTAATGCAAAAAACATAAGCAAGTTTGAAAAAGATAGTGATGTGCTGGGGCCTTTTATACCAGTGTTGCATGGGAAGTGATCAGATATACACAGGTGAGCCTCTCTAAAGAGAGGGTGTCAGCTCTTGTTACCTGGAGAGGTGACAGTATGGTGGCAGCTGGAGCTGCAGAGTGCTGAGGCTCCTGGCTGTTCAGGGCAGTCCGTGTTCAGCTTACCCAGCAGGCTTCTTTCTGGGTGTGATGGCCGTCCGTTCAGGGATTTTGAGGAAGGGATTGACTTCATCTGGCATACTGTTTAGAAGGATATATATGAATATTATGTGGAGAGTAAATTATATGGGGCAGGAGTGGGAGCAGAAAGCCACGTGGGAGGTGGTCTGAACATTCTAAGTGGACTGGGGCAATGTGGTGAAAGGGAAGGGAAGAGGTCAGATTCTAGATTCTTTTTTATTGTAAAGCTGATGAGAATTGCTGTCAAACTAGATGTGAGGGTGAGAAAAAGAGTCAGAGGACACTCAGAGGACCTTAGCTTGAGCAATGGGGTGGATTGTGGAGCCATTAACTTAGCTGGGCAACCCTGGGAGATGTGAGGTTTGAGGGGGAAATGGAGAATGCATTTGTGGACATGCTGAAGGTGTCTCCTTGGATATTAGAGGTAGGAAATTGGAGCTCAAAAATAAGAAAGAAAATACACAGTTGGGACTCTTTAGCAATGGATGTATACAGAGCTACCAGAAAGGATGAGGTCATTCAGCAAAAGTCAGTGCAGGTACATGGAGCAGAGGTCGGGCAGTGGACTGGGCTGAGGGCTTTGTTACAGAGGGGACGAGTAGGACTCACTCCAGGAGGCTGAGAAGGATGGTGACTGTGCAGGGGGAACCCTAGGGGAGTGTGGCATCCCAGAGGTCGAGTGAAGAAAACGTCTCAAGAAGGGAGTGATCAGTTGTGTCTCTGTTGCTCAGAGGTTGAGAAAAATGAGATTTATGCCTAGACCCCTGGATTTGCTGTATGGCTGTATGTAACTGAGGACCTTGATTCATGTGGTTTTGGGAATGGTGGGTACAAAAGCTGGATTACAATGGGTTCAGGAGAGAATGGGAGATAAACGGTGGCAGTCAGTGTAGATGCTTCTTCTGAGGGATATAAGGGGATCAGAGAAGTGGAGCAGTTATATGGGGTAAAGGAGAGTTTTTTAAAATATGGGGGGTGTTATAGCATGTTTTTATGATGAAATAGAGGCAGAAGGTGGAATTGATGATTTAGGAAATAGGGATATTCGCAGGAAGAAAACCCTTAGGTATGTAGGAGGGCATTGGTTCTGGTCACAAGATGAGAGTTTGGCCTGGTTAAGAGTATGGATAGTTAGGCCTTTATATGGAAATAGAGGGCCAAGCCGATAAGCACAGAAACAACTAGGTAGTGTATATCGGGACAGAGGGTGAGAAATGTATCATCAGACTGTTTCTATTTGAGTTGAATAAAATGAATAGATTCTAATCTAACATCCCCCTTTTTGTGCTTATCCTTAACCCCCATTACATGCCAGCATTTTCTCGAGTTTCTCTTATAAACCATCCTTTTCTCACTATCACTTAATGTTTCATTCCCTGACTGCAACTCCTTACGGCCCCTGAAGGGGACCCATGTGAGCTCTGCCCTACTCACACTGGGTGGGATGAGCTGCACAGATGTGAGCCCTCCACTTCCTGGAGACCCCTTCCCTGCGATGTTCTCTTTCTGTTACTGGCAGTGGCGGCACCGCCCCAGCTCCAAAGCCAATACACACCACACGCTGAAGTGTCATCTGCCGACACCTGGCAGTGACATGGGGTCCCCGACAGCACTCCTGAATTGTTTAGGCTGTTGTTTTTTTCAGTGGTCAAAAGTCCTGGGAAATATTTGGAGGTGAGTGCTGAACAGGCTCTCCACAGGCTATCAGCTCTAGTTGATTGTTTTTCTTTTTAAGTATGTTGGTGTGAATGAGATACTGGAAATGGGTTCTATAATTAGCCCGATAAAATAATTATGGATATTACTCTGTGACTCTTATTTAAGCTATAAGAGACATATTGTCTCTCTCATTTGGTACATGTATGTGTTTTTGGTATATGTGTATGATTTTATGTTGAGATAGAGCCATCTAGCATCTGATGTAAGGTGCTAGATGGTCTTAGATGATATGCGTTATCAGAGAAAAAAATAAACCATTTATGGTAGACAGAATAATGTCCGCACCCAAGCTCTAAGAGCTATGAATATGTTACCTTACATGACAAAAGGGACTTGGCACATATGATTCAATTAGGGATCCTGAGATGCAGGAATTATCTCGGTTTATCTGAGTGGCCCAGGGCAATCACAAAGGGCCTTACAAGAGGAAAGGGGGAGTATCAGGCTCAGAAGGAAACACGATGATAGAAGCGGAGATCTGAGCGAGATGCCACGAGCCAGGGAATCTAGGCAGCCTCCAGAGCTGGAGAGGGGAAGAAACAGACTCTTCTCTGGAACCTCTAGAAGGAATGCAGTCCTTCTGACACCATGAGTTTATCTCCCTAAGACCCGTTTTGGACTTCTGACCTCCAGAACTGTGAGTTTGTGTTGTTTTAAGCCACTATGTTTGGGGTAATTTGTTAGAGCAGCAATAGGAAACTGATACACTAACCCAAATCCCATTTACCCAAACGTAAGACTATTTTTGTAAATAACCCTTTCCCCCTCCCCCACCTCTTTCTGCAGAAACATGAGGTTGGGTGGCCAGGCAGGAAGAGAAAGTGAGCCTGGGAGCCAGAACAGCTGAGGGTCATTAGCGTGTGTCCAGGGCCAGCGCAGTGGGAGTGGGAAGGTGTGGGTGGAGCCTCTGGCTGGCGATTGAAGCCATCTGGACCAAGGAAACTTGGATGGAGTAATATGAGGGGAATTCTGCTTTGTTTGGAACTGGTTCTGTGCAACCCCCCCTTAATAAGCAATTTGAATCTCTTTCCCATTATAACCAGGCCAAGTCAAGTAAAGCTTTAAATGGGGAAATTATTCCACTCTGGAGAAATACTAATTTTCATAAGGAAAATACCTTCACCCCAAATTAAAGAGCTGTTTTTCAAATCTTTCCCCTCCTTTCTCATTTCTCTATCAGTTAAATAACTTCTGTCAGCCCAGTATCTGAAGATACTCCTATTTTACTATTTTTTCATTATCAGACGAGAGGCAGGGGGGAAAAAAGTACTTTTCTGAAACTGAAGCTCTAGCTGGCTTCTGGAGAGAGCTGGGGCTCTTTTGCCCTTTGCCTTGTTTTTCCAAGTTGCTTTACTTTCATGGGCCTCAGTTTGTTTACCTGGAAAATGAGAAGATGATGCCCGATGAGGCCAGGTTCTCACCAAAGCTGATTTGCTAAGATTCCGTGAAGGCCGTCATACTTGCCAAGAGAGAATGGTGAGCTAGACTCAGCTGTGGGCTTCTGGAGATGATTTTCCATATGAATGACCTTAGGAAGTGCTTCAGAAGGACTGATGGCCA